TAGGATCTCATTAAAAAACGTACAACTTGAATACTGGAATTATAAATAACTACTAGAGACTGAAAACAGATAGTAGAAATTGACATATACCAAATTTTTAACTGCAAAAAAAACAAAAAACAGTATGATCTTAAACATAAACAGGTAAATCACTAGATCCAATTAAGGGGAGTATAAATATTAAAGTTAAACGTCAAATTATCTGTAGCTTGTATTAAATAAGTGTCAGCAATATTATCTAAAATTATTACATTCATTTCCATCAGCTCCGCTCCTATTGTTCTTAATGTAAACTACTTACATTGCAGTTTGTTTTTATGCCTAGATTATAATTACACTTGTGATTGTTTTTGGTGCTTTAATTTTTATTATACTACATATTAAATATTCTTTATAGAAATCCACCAGAACGAAAGAATCCCTAAGTTTACGTTATGTTTCAATACCTCTTTATCAGTTCCTTCTTTCGCCTTGCACGTCGCTCTTTTTAGAAACTTATAATGAAGTTGCTGTGAGTATTCCATTTGTGTTTTATTTTGAATTACATATTTTCACAAAGTGGGTAAAATATTGTAGCTTATATTTGTTGACTGATTATTAAACAACATTTTGTTAACTAAGGCACCAACAAACATCCAAAACGAAAATGAAATGCAGAAAACTGATAGCTATTAGGTTAGAAAAAATCAGATTGACTGGTGCAAAGCTAGCCCCCCCCCTCCCCCAGTGACACGGCGGTATGTCTGCGGACTTACAACGCTAGAAACCAGGTTTCGATACCAGTGGTGGGCAGAGCACAGATAGCCCTTGTGTAGCTTTGTGCTTAACTACAAACAAACAATGCTAAGCTAAGACTCCACAAAGGGCTAAACATCAGTACTAGGTTTATATTATTTGAGAAGTATCTCTTAACTAATAAACCACATAAGACATAAATTTCCATAAAAAAGAATATTTATGATTGATAAGCAACATTAAATTTAAATTCTAATGTATTTGAATACTTATGATATTTAATAACGGCTTTTGATTTCAAAGTGTATTCTACAAAGCGAAAGATTCGTATGAAACACTAAGCCACACTGTTTAATTAATTTAAAAAAACAACAACTTTGTTTGCATGAAAATGTAATATAATCTGATGGGACTAAAGTTAAAACTTACGATTGCATTTTTTTACTATTTGATCATTAGATGAAAATTTGAAATACATTATATGAAATGTTAAGATATGTGGAGTATAAACTATCTTTAAAACCTTATTTGTTTTTGATGTGGTATTTATAATTAAACAATGATTTGGGATTATGTTATTAATGATTTTACTTTTAAAATCGTGTTCTGTGCAAACAGATATTAAAAGCGCATTGTTTTATAAGATTTACTGGTGGATATGGCCACGATCCCAAACTGGGTCGTCAGAATTTGTGAAAGGGCTGCGACCAGACTTTGAAAACCGATGATAGTTTATTTGTGTATTTAGTAAGTATTTGGTAAGTCAGATGTTTTTGCACTAACCGTATTTACTGAGTCGCGACTGCCAATCAATGTATATAAATAAGTTGTGAGTCAAATGTAGATTTAAGTATCTTCTCTATCAGATGGTGGTTGAAGAAATAAAAGAGGATATAACCGAGAGGTGTTGACCCTTAAAGATATCAGCCATTAAAAAACATATCACGTAGAAACAGATAAAGCTGAATAGTGATGAGGCTTAGAGATATCAGGCATTAAAGCACATATCAGGTGCATATCAGGTGGGAAGACAGATATGGCTGGGTGGTGCTCAGACTTACAGACATTAAAGCACGTATAAAGTGGGAAAACGGATAAAGAGGATAAAACCGGGAAATGTTGATCCTTAAAGATAGCAGGTATTAAAGAACATATCAGGTGAAAGAGATATAAAGCTGGGTGGTGCTGAGACTTAAATATAGCAGGTATTAAAGCACATACCAGATGGGAAGACAGATAAAGCTGGGTGGTGCTGAGTCTTAAAGGTAGCAGGCATTAAATCACATATCAGGTAGGAAGACAGATAAAGCTGGGTGGTGCTGAGACTTAAAGGTAGCAGCCATTAAAGCACATATCAGGTGGGAAGACAGATAAAGCTGAATAGTGACAAGGCTTAAAGGTAGCAGCCATTAAAGCACATATCAGGTGGGAAGACAGATAGAGCTTAGTGGTGCTGAGACTTTAAGATAGCAGGTGAAAGAGATAAAGTTGGATGGTGATGAGGCTAAAATATAACAGGTTAAAGCACGTACAGTATTATAATATAAATTATATTATATATATTATAATAAAACAATGCTAGGTAGTCGTACAAAGTACGCGAGTTATAAACAAAGTCAGAGATGTCAACTCATAATGCTGCAGATATTGTTATGGCTATACCCAACCATCCATCCTGCTAATTCAAAGATATTAACTCATACTAATCCTGCAGATATTGTTATGGCTATATCTAGCCATCCCACCTGCTAATTCAAAGATATTAACTCATCCTAATGCTGCAGATATTGTTATGGCTATACCTAGCCGTCTCACCTGATAATTATGTGTATAAAAAGACGTTTAAAAACTAACTCAAAGAACATTTATTGTGTTTTATTACATTTTCTACATAAGCAACAAATTCATATGTACCAATTATATCTTAGAAATAGTTAGTGCTGTACTTACTCTTTTAACAAACAATGTCATGTATTCTGAATACATAATGATCGTTTATCACAATATTAGCTCTGTTCAGTAATTACAAAAAGGAAAAAACAATTAATTGGCACCTCGCTTTGACTATGTGTATCTTACAAAACGTACCAAAATCTAGCTCTTAGACTTAATGCTTTCATTCCTTAATCAAAGTGTAGTTGTCTTGCTCTAGCTTGAGTCATTCTTCTCTAGCGCAACGTTGTTTGTTGGCAGGGTAAAATGGATGAGTCCAGGCAGCGGCACGCATCTCCATCCCCAGGTGTACTGTAAGGCTCTGAGATAAAAGTACTGTTGTAGCTAATGGCACGTAGGGGGAAATTTGTCTCTTTCTCCCTCGGGTCCCCTTTCCACACCAGCTCGGGCCATCACCGAAGAGCCATGAATTCGGATGCTGTAATGACGTTCCACAATGCTTCCGTCTTTGATAAGCAAATGCAAATGTAGACGAAATACCTTGTCGTTGGCTGATGCCTTTGGGATCAGAAATGAAAAAAAAAGGTCTACATCATCTGTCACCAGTACTTGGCGATGTTTATTTATTGAAACTGTTCAGCTCTCAGCCTCTTGTTTCGGCTTCTTACGATGCCGCAGGGATAAAGAAATGTAGGCATGGGAATCCGCTTCTGTATTCTACTGTGCTTTGACGTAACAACCTACAGACGTTTTGCATTCTTTCATCAGAGTTACAGCGCCTGTATAAAGTAGAACAAAATATCCACCAGCCAATATTCCACTGTATATTCTTGGCTCAGTGGGCCGTCAACACTTAGCAAGTTCACAAGTTAGTCGACAAGGCTAAACGGCTCCAATTCCCAGCGGCATTTTAAAATCTATTGGCTTTTAGAGTTGAATAAAAGTTTTTAAAATACAGTAGTAGTATTCTTACTCAAGTTTACTGATTATGAATAAGACAACCTACGAATTTAGCAGCTTATGAAGCTCATACTTTTTTGACTGGCATATAATAAAATAAAAGATACACTTGAAACGGGTGTATATACGCACTAACTGTCCTTAGGCTTTTAGATAAGATCAAAAATATTGGAGATGTGATCTTATATATTAGTCTGCAATTTAATCGAAAATGGTCTTATCTTAGGTCAACACCGTAAGGATTCATTTTATAGATGATTTAGGCAGAGTATTAATGATGAACAAACACAGGTGATATTGGCAGCAACTGCCTAGTTCTGAGTGACACTTGTAAAGAAAATCTTAGACAACTAATTTACAAAAGTCACTCAGGTTGAAAGGAAGACGTTTCGAAAGCTTTTCCTCCTTCTTCAGGTCGACCTCACATGCTTTAAACGTTATGTTAAGTGTTGTTTACAATCAAAATTGTGCCTAATTTATCGAACAGACATTCGCAAAAATAAACGTCTTTTGGATCAAACTAATCGTGTTTTAGTCCTTGAATAATGTACGTTATGAAGCGAGAAGCAAACAGAAAAATATTCGTTCATTCGTTCGTAGAAACGAAAATTCAGTTTATTACACATTAATAGCGATTTAGGCTTTAAATAATGTAACGTGAGATAAACAAGGAACATTCACTCCACGCTTCTACAATGCACAGTGCATCACTTCCAGTGGACATGGCTTCAAACTAAACGATCTCTCAATACTCTTTGTGGACAAGTAGACAACATCAACTGATGCAACGATGTTGAAGAAATTATTGTCAAAGTAACTTGAAATTTATGACTCTAAAAGTTGTGAAAAATTCATGTAAGCTGTAGATGTTCTTTTTCCATATTAATTGTCTATTGTCTCAGCCTAACTGAAGAGTTTTGGTATTGTAAGAAGGGCCTCTTGGGCAATGGCTTGTGAAAAGATAAAAAATACGTCTGAAATACTGTTATTTTCATACCCCTGATTTTAAATCAGATAGGCACAAATTAGAAAGAATGTGAAAAAAAACACCTGCGATTTACGTAATTTTTATCACAAATTTAGGTTTGTTGTTTCTTATGCTTCGCCAGCTTTCGGCGTTTAAACTTGAACTTGAATTTTGTTTCACAAACTGCTGGATGTAGCAATGCCAATGAAATGATTTTCACGCAAACATACGTTCAATATTTTAAAGAAGAACGTGGTTTCTATATTTTACGAATATATATAAAACAAATTTCATGCACTCCATTTCGTATTTATTTTTTTGTCAGTAAAGTTCATTAACGTAAGCGGTAACGACAATATAAAGTGATTACTTGTTTAACCTTTGAATAATATAATACAATTTTTATAATCATAAACGCAATAATAAAATAAGAAAATATGATTACCTGAAACCGCCGCATGTCCCGAGGATTTCCTGCGTTTTTCAGGCAATTCTGGTTGCATTTGAGGAATAGCTTAAGGAAAAACCTAGAAACAAACAAAATAAAAATAGCATTAGTAATTGTGGTATTAACGCGTATTAATTTCATTCCATGCTCAGTATTAGTGTTGGTAACTTTTATTAATTTCATTCCATGCTCAGTATTAGTGTTGGTAACTTTTATTAATTCCATTCCATGCTCAGTGTTAATGGTGGTCACTTCTATTAATTCCATTTCATGCACAGTGTTAATGGTGGTAACTTTTATTAATTCCAATCCATGCTCAGTGTTAATGGTGGTCACTTCTATTAACTCCATTCCATGCTCAGTGTTAATGATGGTAACTTCTATTAATTCCATTCCATGCTCAGTGTTAATGGTGGTAACTTTTATTAATTCCAATCCATGCTCAGTGTTAATGGTGGTCACTTCTATTAATTCCATTCCATGCTCAGTGTTAATGGTGGTAACTTTTATTAATTCCAATCCATGCTCAGTGTTAATGGTGGTCACTTCTATTAATTTCATTCCATGCTCAGTGTTAATGGTGGTCACTTCTATTAATTTCAATTCGTACTCAGTGTTAGTGGTAGTAACTTCTATTAATTTCATTTCATGCTCAGTGTTAGTGGTGGTAACCTGTATTTATATCACTCGATCAGTGTAGTGAAATAGTATAAAATAGCTGTAAGAAATAAGTTGCAATGAACAGTCATCATGAAAGCTCCATAATCTGATAGGTTTTAAACCATCACCACAAGAAACGACCATAACTAAAATCAGATTGCATATGTTCAATAGATTCATACGGACTACTCCTGCCTTTCCTTTGTTTTTGGAGTTGATTTTTTCGGATTATGTACCTCTGCCAATATCGCCAATTTTTAAATTAACATAAATAAAGATTATCTTATCACAAAAAAGCAGCAGTTTCAACTACAATTTTTATATTTCAATATAGCTGTTATATCCGATAGTCCTGACAAACACATTCATATAGATAGATAAACAAGTATTTGTGACACATTGCTTGCATTTTAAAAGCTATGTCTGCTTAGATTATTTTTTCAATTGTACAATAGCACCCTTACAAAATAATCAAACCATGTGTCCTCTGCATGGTGGTATCTGTTTAGCAGAAATATTTATTACGAATTATAGTTGTTCTGGATGATCGTTTTGAATTGTTTTTTTTTTTTACAGATTAACACCATACGTTTACAAAATGATTAAAATTTTGTTTCTGGTAGACGTCTCCATAAGACCCAGAAACTCAAGCGCTTTCGATTAGATTTACTATTCTTCTTTGAGAGAAGGCGTGAAAGCTGACCAATCCCGATTGAAGAAAGGATAAAGGTGTCATTAAGCAAATGAAATGTCTAGGACTCGTATTTTGTTCAAGTTAACAAACAATTGAATAGTATGATGAGGTGAAAAGAATTAGATATAAATATAAGTATAATAATAACTTTTCTCTAATATACAAAAACAAAAATGGCGTATTTAGTAGAGCAAAAGCACTTGATTATATAGAGACCAAACCATAAAAACAAGATGAAAAAGTCAACATTCAAACGAAAATTCTTATACAATTTTTTATTTTATCAATTTATCTTTTCTTTAAAGAGTGAAAAAACAATGAAGTAATAGAATAACCCTTGCACAATTATAATACTAATTAGGAAAGGAATGGAATGTGACCAACTATGAATTAAATAGAAAGTACGGAAATAAAACAAGATACTTATGGAGCTTTCTTGTAAATATTGCAAGGATCAAGACTGATGCCATTCATCGTTACAGTATTCAAAGGTTATTTTCAGAAAGCTGCCTTCATTTCTCTGTCTGTTTTTGATGTGAAACGAGTGATTAAGTTTAATCTCGAGAATGTGTTGGTCAGACTTATTAAAGTGTTTAGCCACAGGAACTTCTTTGTTCGTAGTTATGGAAGATTTGCGATTGTTAAAACGTTCTCTTACACTTGTGCTGGTTTGGACCACATATTAGAAGTTAAATGTGTGACATTGGACGAGATAAACACTGTTTTTTCTTGGTGCAAGTTATGGGTTTTGCGATTTTGTATTTGGTTGTCTTTGTCAGAGACCTGGTCTGTATCTTGCAGTTTGGAAACACTTCCGCCAGGTTAGAAGTTCAAGTTGTCCATAATATGAATTAAGTGGGATTTCACGTTTTGATTTTCCTAAAATTAAGCAACAAGAACGTTGGGAAAAATTGATTTTAGTTGATCATTAAAAGTTTTTCTTTATGATCCGAGGTAGATTTCTCAGTTTTGGGTGATAAGTAATAACAACCAGTGGAACCTGGGAGGAGTTTTTATCCGGTGGTTGTTTCAAGGCATCGTCGCGTAAGATACTGTTAGCTTTGTAATTAGTTTGAATACAGTGTCATGGTTATAACCTCCTTTCGGCCTAGTTTTTGTTAACGAATCAATGTAACTTTTGTTGTTCTACTGTCAAAGCAGATTTCTTGAACCTGAGGGTTTGGTTGAATGTAACGTTGCGTTTAGTGTAGGGAAGATGACAACTTTTAAAGTGCAGGTATTGGATCTCTCGGGCAGCTTTCTGTACAGTCAGTGTGTAGACAGCTATCTTTCAGTGTAAGAGTTATGTCTAAAAATGGGACTTGAGTAGCAGAGCAATCTAAAGTGAATTTGTTATAACTATGAAAGGAGTTTCTATGTCTATAAAAGGATAATATGGAATCTTCCTTTCCTGCCCATAGGAAAATAATGCCATCAATATGGAGTATCCAGATGCATGGTTTGTCTGCAAAACTTTCTAATATTATAGTTTCTAGATCTCACATAACACACATTGTCATAGTTTGGTGTCACTTGTGTACCCATAGCAGCAATGTTTGTCTGAATAAAGAAGTCATTATTAAATTCAAAACCATTAAGAGTAAGAACGAATCTGCTTAAGTCCACAATAGTCTGTGTGTTCATTGCATGAAAGATTTTTTGATAACACTACAAATGGGCCGGGCTTGACCTAGTTGTTAACGTACCGAGGGTTCATGGTACACATCACTGAGTTAGACATGAATAACCCAAGAGCTGAAATTGAATGTTGTAGATAACCTGTCTTCCCTCTAGAAGGCTGGCACAGAGAGCTCTTGTGTAGTAGCATTGAGCGAATATCAGAAACCTACACTGAAAATTCAGGAAATATTTTCCACTTACGCACATTTTTCAAGACCAATATTGTCAAAATAAAAGAAAGATTTCCCTCTCAACTTCGTGTTCCATAGTGGTATTTGTTTTAGTGTCCAATTTATATGTGTCTAAAGTGAAAAGATATGCTACTTAATTGAAATTAATTTAAATGGTGTATGTGTCATAACTTGAACTTAGTCCGTAATTAACTTCAAATTTACGGGAAACATTTCAAAGTTATACACAACTGCAAATACTGAGATAGACCGGATTTTCAAGCACGAGAAAGATAGAGACACAGAAAAAACATATATATACATAAATAGAAGTAAAAAAAGTGTGAACGAAAAGGCAGTATTATATTACATGAAAAACGATGCATGACCCTTGACATTTTTATAGGCCAAGAAAAAACACGCATATAAGAGAGAGACAAAGTGATAAAATACTAGAGAAGCTCTAAAGAGAACATTGTTTGATGTACTCTCAGTATGTAGTGAAGACATTGTTTGACGTACTCTTAGTATGTAGTGAACACATTGTTTGATGGACTCTCAGTATGTAGTGAACACATTGTTTGACGTAGTCCTAGTATATAGTGAACACATTGTTTGATGTACTCTCAGTATGTAGTGAACACATTGTTTGACGTACTCTTAGTATGTAGTGAACACATTGTTTGATGGACTCTCAGTATGTAGTGAACACATTGTTTGACGTAGTCCTAGTATGTAGTGAACACATTGTTTGATGTACTCTCAGTATGTAATGAACACATTGTTTGACGTACTTTTAGTATGTAGTGAACACATTGTTTGATGAACTCTCAGTATGTAGTAAAGACATTGTTTGACGTAGTCTTAGTATGTAGTGAACACATTGTTTGATGTACTCTCAGTTTGTAGTGAACACATTGTTTGACGTAGTCTTAGTATGTAGTGAACACATTGTTTGACATATTCTGGATATGTAAAGAACACATTGTTTGACATATTTTGGACATGTAGAAAACACATTGTTTGATGTATTTTGGATATGTAAAGAACACATTGTTTGACATATTTTGGATATGTAGAAAACACATTGTTTGATGTATTCTGGATATGTAAAGAATACATTGTTTGACATATTCTGGATATGTAGAGAACTCATTGTTTGACATATTTTGGATATGTAGAAAACACATTGTTTGATGTATTCTGGATATGTAAAGAACACATTGTTTGATGTATTTTGGATATGTAAAGAACACATTGTTTGATGTATTCTGGATATGTAAAGAATACATTGTTTGACATATTCTGGATATGTACAGAACACATCGTTTGACATATTCTGGATATATAGAGAACACATTGTTTGACGTATTCTAGATATGTAGAAAACACATTGTTCGACGTATTCTAAATATGTGGAGAATACACTGTTTGACGTGTTCTGGACACGTACAGAACCCACTGTTTGACGTGTTCTGGATTTGTGGGATCGGAGTAAAATCTAATTCATCCGGCGATTTACGTAATCAAAATATGGGTTTCTGTGTTAAAATACTCACATGCTTCAATGAAAGCAACGCACTTCAAACGATAATAAACAGACTTAACGTTCATCAAATAATATAGTCATATCGCTTTTCAAATCGCTGAATAAATCAAAGTAACGAAATCACTCTTACTCAGACTTTTTAGGAGGTACTTGTGGAACATAAAGACAAAATAAACATGCACTGAGAACCTTACTGCTCATCAGATGCTATAATAATTTTTCTATCCAATTAATTGTATAAATAAAGAGCAAACATATAATTTATTGAGAATTTCTGGCAAGTGGTATTGGAACATAACAGGAGAATAATGTGAGAATATAACATG